ATGTCTCAGTTCGGAAAAGACAAAACGCAAAAGAAATGGCAAGGCTTGTTGTGACACCTGTACGGCCCGGAAGCACGAGGAACGGTTTTCACCAATGCCTTGCTTCCATCCATTTGCAATCTGTTACGGCATTGGATTCCAGCGAAATTCGGTGATCCATTTTGCAGAGCAAACCCAAACTCACCTTGTGATGTTTCTTCAGGTTTTGCAGAACAGAATTATTATTCGGCACTTCATCACACTAGAGAAAAATCCACTCAAAATCTGGTTTCTGCCTCCTGCAGAATTCTGGGGTTTGTAGTTTAGTGAGGCTGTTCAAGGCTACTCCCTAAACTACAAACTCCAAAATTCTGCAGGAGGCAGAAACCGGATTTAAAGTAGATTCATTCCCTAGTGTGAGGAAGCCCTAAAGCCCAAGTTGATACCAAATGGAGTTTTGAGCTGAGATCCTTGAATGGTTTACTGTGATATACTTCAATGAACCCACATCCCCTGAATCTAGAGAAAACTCTGTGTTAACTTATAGAGTATAAGTAGGTCAACCATGACCATTGCAGAAGGACCTTCAAAATCTGATCCATAAACCTCATGATTCAATCAGTGTTATTTACGTCAACTGGAGAAATTAATGATAGTCCTTCATATGGCTGTATCCCTAAATGATCCTGCTTTGTTTCCAATGGGGTGGTTAAAACTGCTAGCTTTGCAATGTATTTATTGACATAGGGTCAAGCTAGGGACTGGAAATCCTCTCATTCCCAGATGTTGTGGGATTCCTATGATTCCCACTTATGAATGTCTTATGCTGGTCAACCAAGAGCATTGCAGAAGGACCTTCAAAATCCGATCCATACAACCTCATGATTCAATCAATGTTATTTATGTCAATTGGAGAGGTTCATGAGAACCCTTGGATGGTCCTTCATATGGCTGCATCCCTAAATGATCCTGCCTTGTTTCCAATGGGGGTGGTTAAAACTGCTTGCTTTGCAATATATTCATTGACATAGGGCTAAGGTCCTATAATTCCTAGATGTTGTGGGACTCATAAGATTCCCACTCAGCATAGAGAGAAATATGGAAAATTACAACCCTATCTCATCATCCTTGGCTCAGTCCAGCCAAAATGAACAACACTCCCAACAGTAATTGCTTAGGATAGTGTTGCTTTCTATCAGATGGCAGTCTTCTTGATTTCTCTCTGTGGCCAACATTTTATTTAAAACTAGACATCCCCTGCCACGCGTTGCTTTGGGCCAGTCTCTGTATATGTTTTGTATGTGTATGTGTGTATATGTGTGTGTGTGTGTATATATATATATATATATGTATATGTGTAAATAAGTTGTTTTGCACATGCATTGTATTTTTTTTTGCTTTTAAAGTCTCTTCCATTGTGTTTTTCAGTTTTTTGATGAGTGATGGTCACTCATTGGCCTGAAAGGTGTATTGTGTCCAAATTTGGTGTCAATTCGCCCAGTGGTTTGTGAGTTATGTTAATCCCACAAACAAACATTACATTTTTATTTGTATAGACTAGCTGTCCCCTGCCACCTGTTGCTGTAGCCCAGTCTGTGTATATGTATGTGTATATATTTGTGTATGTGTGTGTTTGCATATATATATATATATATATGTGATTTTGTGCATGCGTTATAATTGAAGTTTTGGGTTTTTTTGGCTTTTAAAGTCTCTTCTGCTGTGTTTTTCAGTTTTTTAATGAGCAATGGTCACTCGTTGGCCTGACAGGTGTATTGTGTCCAAATTTGGTGTCAGTTCCCCCAGTGGTTTTTGAGTTATGTTAATCCCACAAACGAACATTACATTTTTATTTATATAGATGGTGGAAAACTGAACCCCAAGTATTTAGTGTAATTCTAGGAGCAATATTTGGATAGCTCAAACAATGGATCTCCACAAATACAAGGCATCTCCAGCAGATAATAAATGGGCACAGAAATATGCTGAGTTTTTGAATCTTTGGAGCTGTCAGGTCCATTAGCCAGGTTGAAACAAAACAAGGGAAAGCATTTTTTTTTAATTTTACCTCTTTGATACTAGGTTTGTCTTAACGTTTAGACAGAATCGGCCCAAGGGGATTCTAGGAACGAGGAAAACTTTGCTCTGCCAACCTCTGGGCTGAATACTGTTCCTGCTCTTTTCAAATCCAAAATATTCCTGGGTTGCCAGCTTGTTGTGTTCTAATCTCAGCTCAAATTGAACAGCCTGAACTCTGATTTGTTCCCGACCCAATTTCCTCCAACTATCATATATGTATATATATATATATATGAGAGGCACTTTAGTTTAAGTAACAGTTACGATCAACTCGTTTGTTTTCTATTGAGGCAAAGTGTTGTAACTGAGTGTTTACACTTACCAGCTACTTGACGAGCCACCTGCCTAATGTGGTGCGACGGAGAAAGTGTACTCGAGACACACAAAACCGTGGGAAGAGAATAAAGCGCGCACACACAGCTATACACACACATACGCACACTCACATCGCTCTCTGTAGTGTGATTTTTCACAGCTTTTAGATTGCGTTGGGATAAGGGGAAATCCCTGCCTTTTGTACAAACTTGTTTTTATATAAACCACACATTTGCTGTACAGTACACGCGGAGGAAAAAAGGAAATGCCGTTCCATTCCAATTCCCCACCCGTTCATATCCTTTACAAGGCCCTCCCAAACCCCTTCCCCACCCACCCACCCCGAAAAACAAAACAAACCCCACATTTTTGCAAACAACATCAACTATCTAGTGCAAGAGGGACAGAACTCAAAATCTCCACAAGAAAAGGGAGAAAAAAATAATAAACCTCATTCTTTTTTTTCTCTTCAGATTACAACAGAATGACGATGGGATAAAAGTCACTTAAAAGAGTAAAACCACAAATAAATAAAAGCAAAGCGAAAACAAAACAAAAGTAACAGTCATCTATATTCTCTATAATTTAAGAATATTTAGCCAGGCTATAAAATTGGCAATTTTTTAAAAACATTTTTTTCCAATTTTTTTCTGCATTACTATTTTTTTTTTTTACTTCTTTAAATTATTAATGACTCCCTGAGCAAATCTGGGCTTAGTAAGTTTCGGATCAACATCTCAACAGGTAGATCTGCTTACAAATCCACAAGACAAATGAGAACAGCGAAACAAATTTTTCAAGAACCATTTCCCCCTCTGGGTTGCTGTGAGTTTTCTGGGCTGTATGGTCATGTTCCAGAAGCATTCTCTTCTGATGTTTTGCCTGCATCTATGGCAAGCATCCTCAGAGGTTGTGAAGTCTGTTGGAATCTAGGGTTTCAATAGCTTCTCCGTGTAGTCCATAAGCATGTGAAATCCACAAGAAGCATGTGGGCAATTTCAACAGAAAGGAGGAAACCATGTAAATGAACAAAATCTGGCTACCTGTATTTAAAAATCTCTAAAATCAGGGAAGTAAAGAAAAAACACTCAAAATAAAGGGATTTCCAGACAAGAAACAATCAAGGCCAGTTAATCACCTCCCAACAAAGGATTCCCCAGGCAGTAAGAAGCCAGACCTTGAAACTGCTAGGCCATTCAATGCTAATCAAGGTGGCCAATTCACCTCCCAACAAAGGATTCCCCAGGCAGTAAGAAGCCAGATCTTGAAACTTCTAGGCCATTAAATGCTAATCAAGGTGGCCAATTGCAACATTCCCACTTGCCTCAAACAGACAAGAGTTCTTTCTCCTACCCTGGACATTCCACAGATATATAAACATCACTTATTAAGTTCTTGTGGGTTTTTTTCGGGCTATAGGGCCATGTTCTAGAGGCATTTCTCCTGACGTTTCGCCTGCATCTATGGCAAGCATCCTCAGAGGTAATGACCTCACTACCTCTGAGGATGCTTGCCATAGATGCAGGCGAAACGTCAGGAGAAATGCCTCTAGAACATGGTCCTATAACCCGAAAAAATCCACAAGAACTTAGTGATTCCAGCCATGAAAGCCTTCGACAATACATCACTTATTAAGTTTCCAACAGACCCCTCAACCTCTGAGGATGCCTGCCATAGATGCAGGTGAAATGTCAGGAGAGAATGCTTCTGGAACATGGCCATACAGCCCAGAAAACACATGACAATCCAGTGATTCTGGCCATGAAAGCCTTCGACAATACATTTTCCCCTCCTTGGCTTTGGATTTGGAGACCACCATAAATTAGGTCTCCAAATCCTTCCTCCTGGACTCCAGGTCCCTTGTAAAACACTGTATAGAAGCCCACCTCCAACGACATCATTTTGAGATAAAAGGGCTCTAGTTTTGGGGATGGATTTTGCACGGGTTTAAGATGGAAGAAGTGAAAGCACTCAACCCAAATAACCCCATGGTCCATCAACTGCAATTTCTGGATTGCTGAGGTTCGTGGACATGGACAAAATCTGCCCCTTAACGTCCAGATTTACCATTTGGAGAGCAGAAGCAACCCTGCTGGTTTGTAAACAGAGGAAGGCCTGAGACACATATAGTCTGACGGAGAGAAGAATGGAAAACCCAACTTTTGTGGCATGGACATCCTGAAGGCCACGGGATTTTGCCCCTGGAGTTCTCCCAAATTTTGCTTTCAAAGGCCTCTGATTTTTGCCAGAATATATCTTTCCCCCAATTTCCACATCCAACAACTGTTGGAATACGAAACTGGCCCAATCTGATTCTGACCTATATTTACAGAGAATACAGTTGTGTTCCATTGGACATGGAATGGGAAATAAAAACAGGACAAACACAAAACTTTTCTGTTCCACTGAAAGAGAGAGAGGTACACATAAAGGCACCCACCCCAACCCCAATGCCCCCCTGGCCCTCGGCTAAGAAAATGTACATACTCTTATGTATGCCTTCTGGCATCAATTACAAAATTCCTCCAGGCGTTTGAAGGTGCTGCGACAAATGGAGGAGGGATCTCCAAACTGGGAGAATTTCTTTAAAAAACAGAGAGATACAAAGGGAGGCCACCACACACCAATCACGAGGGATATTCAAGTTTTGAAAAGTAACAGGAAAAAAACAAATGACCAAAAACAAAAGTATTTCCCCCAGCGACATAGTTCAGGACTTTTCTGACACCCATTGTTCCCAACAGAGCTGGTATCTCAACCATCATCCATCTCGAGATGCCCTTCTGTAATGTAGCGTAACGGACACACCTTGTGTTTCCCATCAGCCCGCTCTCTATTTTGCTTTTCCAACAGTATTTTTTAAATATATATATAGATATATAAAAGAACCTCACAACAAGCACAGGTAAGGAGTTGTGTTCAGCATCTGAATTCTGCTGGACAGGGTTCTAGCTCTCTCCTCTCTCTCTTTTTGCCACCTGTCTCGCTTGCCAACATTTGTGCTTTGACAACCAAGAAGGTTCTTATTGTTTTCTTCTCTTTTGGAAAGTCACTAAAAGTGATAGAAAAGGGAGCAGGCATGCAGGCAGACTGCACACTTCCCACCGCCTCCGCACCCACTCGACTAAATTTGTTATAATACAGCCTGTCGGCACACACGCACGCGCCTTAAGACACAATGGGAGAGGGAGAGTGCCACTGTTTTGACAAGGCAGAAGGCCAAAAACCCTGGGCTTCTTCCAGCAGGATAATAGTCAAGTTTTCTTTTTTTTTTTTAAACACACTTAAGGAATAAAAGGTAGCTCAGAAGTTGAGTTTCGTGACAGGCCGCTCGCGGCTGCCGTCCGTCAGCGGGTTGGTGATGCGTTTGCGGTTGCGTTTCAGTTTGGAAAGGTCTTTATCGAAGACTTCGCCGGATCGCAGGGCTGAGACGAGGTCGTCAAACTCCCCGCCTTCTTCGCTGTTTTCTTTTGCCTTCCTGGCTTTGCGCTCCCTCTCTCGCTGCTCCTTGAGCTGGATTTTGGGGACGGGATTCGGAAAGAAGAGACAACAGAGGGTCAACAAGGAGATTTTTAACGCCAGGAAGGCCTTCTGAACTTCACCAATTACAACAAGGATTGTCAGGGAAGCAACTGGTGGGTGCATAAGTCCCACAAAGGAACTTTCCCAAGATCTGTCATTCTCTTATGCTGATACCAGTATAAACTATACCACATAGCTTTCCAAACTGTGTGTTCCAATATAATAGTGAAGGCATGAGCAAACTTAGGGTCTCTGGGTATTTTGGACTTCATTGACTTGTACATGGTGGGTTTGGAACAAAGAGTTCATACAGATTACTAACTGGAGCACTGTATTGTGAGAGGATAACTCCTATGCTACGGCAGCTCCACAGGCTGTCGGTCAGCTTCCGGGCTAAATACAAAGTGCTGGTTGTTACTTATAAAGCCCTAAATGATTCAGGTCCAGGCTATTTGTCTAATCACATCTCACTATACATGGAGCTTTTCGATGCTGGTCATTGACCATAATAAATATTTATTATTATACGTGGAGCCCCCGGTGGCGCAGTGGGTTAAAGCGCTCCATGCAGTCATGCCGGCCACATGACCTTGGAGGTGTCTATGGACAACGCCGGCTCTTCGGCTTACAAATGGAGATGAGCACCACACCCCAGAGTCAGACTTGACTGGACTTAACGTTAGGTTATCTCACTATACAGACCATCCCAGGCACTGCAGTCTGCGGAGGAGGCCCTCCTCTCAGTCCCACTCCCCATCACAAGCTCGGTTGGTGGGAGTGAGAGAGGTGCCTTCTTCCCATCTCTGGAACCCCCTCCCTAAAGAAGTAAAAACGGCCCCCACCTTCCTCTCCTTTAAGACACTTCTAAAGATGCACTAGGGATGCACTTATGCACTATAGCATATGGAGAGGAGGAGGACTAAAACATGTTATCCATTTGGAATGCTGTTCTTCCGGCAGCAGGCCAAGACCTGTTTATTCAGGTCAGAATACTACTATTATTAACAATAACAGTGTTCAAATGATGGACCCAATTTTCAATACAAATGATGGACCCAATTCCAAATTGTAACATGTTGCCATTGCCAATGACTGAAGCTAGGGGTTGTTTGTGTGTTGGGAGAGGCATCTACCAGTAATAATTTGAAACACTATTTCCCACTCTTTCAAGTGGTGAAAGTTTCATGGTTTGCAGTTACAGGGATATTGCAATTTTAAACTGAGTCCCTCTTTTTGAAAGACCCTGTACATTATCTCAATCATCAGTACAGCAATCACGTAAAGTAAGTTAGCATTGTTATCCTCATATCAAAAAAAAAAGGAAGGCTCCTAAGGTAAGGAGAAGGCGAACCAGCATGTTCTCAGCTCAGTTGCAATTTCAACTAGGTATCTCTGGCTCATAGGTCATATTCTGAACCATTATGCACAAAAACACATTTGTAGATCTGTGTGGTCTACTTTTGTATGATGGGAGTTGGAGTGGATGGTGGGGAGTTGGAGTCTCTTTAGCTTTACTGATAAATTTTGACATCCACACTTTCCCTGCTTTGGCTGCTCCCCGGTTGCCAACTCTTTGGTTCGCACCTGTGCTTCCATTCGTGCCCGCCTTTCCTCTTCCTCCTTCCTCTTCCGCATGTTTTCGTTCTCTTGCTTGGCTTCATTCACAGCTTGGAGAAACTGGTCAAAGATCCCAAAGAACTCATCCGGCTGCGTCTTGGCTGGCTCTTCTCCAAAATGCTTCACAGATTTGATGAACTGGAGGAAAGAAATTGTCAAGGCAATTTCAACAACCTACTAGCCAAATGCAACAGTCACAAATCCACCTTTCTCCATCTAGTTAAGCACAACAACAACAGTTTATTTATATTCCGCCCTTCTCACCCCAAAGGGGACTCAGGGCAGATCAAAAGTACACATACATGGCAAACATTCAACGCTGTTTATATAGACAGTAGGGCTGGGCAACCACGGAAAAATTTGTTTCTAAACTCGATTCGTTTTTGCGTTTCGATTTTTAAAAGAATTCCGAAATTTTCCTTTAAAAAAATTCGATATTTACGAAATTTCGTAAATTACGAATCAATTACGAATCGATTTCGAAACAATTACGAATCGATTCATTAATGGCGGGCGCGATCGCGCAATACGCTAAAAAACCCTCCAAATGGGACAGGAAGCTTCCCTCTCCCTCTGTTGTTGACTGTTGGTGTGATAATTTATTTTTTTTTCACTGAGAAAACAAACAGCAACCCTAAAACTTGCACCAGACATGCGGAAATAATAACGAAACGATTTCGAATTAATTACGAATCGATTTCGAAACAATTACAAAACAATTACGAAATGAATTGAAAAAATTCGTTTCGTTTTTTAGTTGCTCCTGAATGGTTCAATATCGCTTCATTATAAAAAAAAATAACGAATTAATAACGAATTACGAAATTAACGAATGAAATCGCCCAGCCCTAATAGACAGTACACAGACAGACAGCACAGAAGGAGGTGTTGTTTCAATGCTATGGATGGTTGGACTCGAGTCCACAGGGGGTGCTGTCGCTCCATCCTCTATGACAAAGATCCTCCAGTCAGGACTTCCTAATTCCAGCATTTTCTAATCTTCTTTTCCTTTATGGCATTGTAAAACACTTCCCCGCTTTTAGCGGTACCTAATTCCTCTAATTACAGCTAAAGCTGTTTACGAACTGCTTAGGTAAACAGTGAGCAGGGCTGATGGTCAGCCGCTCATGCCAACCCGAGGCTTTGAACTTGCAACCTTTTGGTTGATAGATCTTATAGTTGCTGATGATTTACCAGTTGTGATAAACCTCCGGTGCTGTAAAAGCATCTGTTTTAAGAAGGAGATAGCCCTCTTTTAGATGCTGGAAATGGTATTTTTGGGGCTACATGGAATCTCACCATGAATGACTATTGGTCAAGCTGGAGGAGGACGTAAAGAGCTATGATCTCTAAAATTAGCATTACTAATCTTTAATAGAATTACAGACAAGGCAAACAGGTGTAGGTTTAAAACACAGAAAGTGGCTATCTCACCCCATCATCCTAGATCAAGGGTCCTCAAACTTTTTAAACAGAGGGCCAGGTCACAGTCCCTCAAACTGTTGGAGGGCCGGATTATAATTTGAAAAAAAAAAATGAATGAATTCCTATGCACACTGCAGATATCTTATTTGTAGTGCAAAAAACACTTAAAATAATACAATAATTAAAATAAAGAACAATTTTAACAAATATAAACTTGTTAGTATTTCAATGGGAAGTGTGGACCTGCTTTTGGCTGACGAGATAGGGTTGTTGTTGTTGTTGTTGTTGTTGTTGTTGTGTGTTTTCAAGTTGTTTCAGACTTAGATTGACCCTGAGCAAGGGACAGATAAATGACCTTGGAGGGTTGTATCTGGCCCCCGGGCCTTAGTTTGTAGACCCCATCATCCTAGATAATGGTCAATTCATTTGTGACAAATTTGGTCCAGTGAATGGAAATACATCCTGCGTATCAGATATTTACATTACGATTCATAACAGAAGCAAATTACAGTTATGAAGTAGCAACGAAAATAATGTTATGGTTGGGGGTCATCACAACATGAGGAACTGGATTAAGGGGTCATGGCATTAGGAAGGTTGAGAATGACTGTTTTAGATTGTCAAAAACCGTAGAGACAAAAGGGCACTAGATAGAATTTGGATTTAGAGAAAAATGAAGACTGGAAAATGAGAATAAAGAGAAAGATGGGTGGATAACAGACCTGCAGGCTAAAATATAGAATCATAGAATCAAAGAGTTGGAAGAGACCTCATGGGCCATCCAGTCCAACCCCATGCCAAGAAGCAGGAATATTGCATTCAAATCACCCCTGACAGATGGCCATCCAGCCTCTGTTTAAAAGCTTCCAAAGAAGGAGCCTCCACCACACTCCGGGGCAGAGAGTTCCACTGCTAAACGGCTCTCACAGTCAGGAAGTTCTTCCTCATGTTCAGATGGAATCTCCTCTCTTGTAGTTTGAAGCCATTGTTCCGCGTCCTAGTCTCCAGGGAAGCAGAAAACAAGCTTGCTCCCTCCTCCCTGTGGCTTCCTCTCACATATTTATACATGGTTATCATATCCCCTCTCAGCCTTCTCTTCTTCAGGCTAAACATGCCCAGCTCCTTAAGCCGCTCCTCATAGGGCTTGTTCTCCAGACCTTTATCATTTTAGTCGCTCTCCTCTGGACACATTCCAGCTTGTCAATATCTCTCTTGAATTGTGGTGCCCAGAATTGGACACAATATTCCAGGTGTGGTCTAACCAAAGCAGAATAGACTTCCCCAGATCTAGACACTATGCTCCTATTGATGCAGGCCAAAATCCCATTGGCTTTTTTTGTCGCCACATCACATTGTTAACTTGTTGTCCACGAGGACTCCAAGATCTTTTTCACATGTACTGCTCTCAAGTCAGGCGTCCCCCATTCTGTATCTTTGAAGAAATCCTTGTTGTTGGCCTTCTTCTCACTTTGTTCCAAACTTTGGAGCCATCACCGATGAGACCCTTCTCTTTCTCCACAAACCCATCTCTTCTGCAAAACTGCCATGACTCCTTCTCATGAACTCCAATTTCCATTTTGAAACAGTGGAGCAAGTGTGTCACATTTCTATGTTTACTTCTTATGCCTTTGATTATCTAGCTCCTCTTTCTTTCTTTCTTTCTTTCTTTCTTTCTTTCTTTCTTTCTTTCTTTCTTTCTTTCTTTCTTTCTTTCTTTCTTAACTCAGGAGCAATAAAGCCGAACAGAGCTTGCTATTGCTGAGCAGAAGATATAAAACTCAAACGCATGACACGGGAGAGGGGAAACTTGCACGTTCAACTTCTCTTTGAAGGTTTGCTCTTGTATGTTATTTATCGTTGCCATATGTTTACATATTAGAACCAAATGTGCAAGTGAAGCTTTAGGAAAAAGGATTCTGCCCCCCCAAATCGGTGTCCTTTTTGAAGGGAACGACATCCGTCCAAGCAGGAAGTTTCTGAAAACCACCTTGATGCCCATATAAAGTTTATTTGATCTTTTTGTAAAAGTCAAAGATGAAACAAGTGAATGATATGTGTATAGTCCTGTCATGACCATGAGAAGCAAACCAACAAGCCAGCCAACACAGGGATACATGATCCGTCAAGGCTGACTTTGGTGTGTTGTCTCACTTTTGGTAGCTTTTTATGACAACTAGCTTGGATAGCATTTATTGAAAAACGAAGCAGAAAAATCAATGTCTAAGTCACACACAAAAGGAGTGGATTCCCACTTGCTCAGCAGGAATTTACATCCACGCTTGCTCCGAACTCTGTCTCAATCTATTTAACTGATATGGGTATGTGCTTAGTGACAACACAAAGAGGGAGACTTGAATCTACAATTAGTGTTTATTACACTCAGGACAGCAGGGAAGAAAAGTATTTGTATTTCTGATTGTTTTAATTACATGCACATCTGACTCTCACATTCACATTCAATGTCTATTGTGTTTTAATCTTTGTACCATAAATTTTTATATGTTTTAATATGTGTTTTTATGGAATGTATTTTAGGATGAGGATATATTTTAACTATATTGTGCTCTGCTTCAATCTGTAACGAGAGGCGGGTAATAAATAATACTACTACTGTGTTGTCGAAGGCTTTCATGGCCAGAATCACTGAGTTGCTCTGAGTTTTCCGGGCTGTATGGCCATGTTCCAGAAGCATTTCCTCCTGATGTTTCACCCACATCTATGGCAGGCATTCTCAGAGGTTGAGGGGTCTGTTGGAAACTAAGTAACTGACTTACTTAGTCACTTACTTAGTTTCCAACAGACCACTCAACCTCTTACTAAGTTTCCAACAGACCCCACAACTTCTGAAGATGCCTGCCATAGATGTATTATTATTATTATTATTATTATTATTATTATTATTATTACATTTACAGTATTTTACCCTATTATTATTATTACGTTTATTATTTTAATCTATTTATTATTATTACTATTATTATTATTACATTTACAGTATTTTACCCTATTATTACTACATTTATTATTTTACTCTATTATTGTTTTTATTGCATTTTCATTATTTTACTCTATTATTTTTATTATATTTATTAACAATTACATTGAAAGAGGTTAGAATAATGGTTTAATAAGAGTTGGACAGTCTTACCTTAAATTACAGTTTTATGTAAATATTAAGAAACATTTAGCCTATTGATGCCTCACTTAATGTAATTTTATTGGTATCTATTTTTATTTTGAAATTGACCCATAGTGGATGCATTTCCCACCCTTGGCTTATACTCGAGTCAATACGTTTTCCCAGTTTTTTTGTGATAAAATTAGGTGGCTCGGCTTATATTCAGGTTGGCGTATAGAGTATATACGGTAACTAATTTATGACGCCATAAAATTTCCAGTAAGCAAGCAAAGAATGAGGAAGTACTCCATCAGTGTCTCAAATGGACGGTGAAGCGACAGCTCCCCCGGTGGCCAGAATACCCTCATGAAAGCTGGAAAGTTAAATTGCCTCTGTGTGTCTGTCTATATATGTTGTGTGTCTATGGCATTGAATGTTTGCCATGTATATGTATATGTACAACCCTGAGTCTCGTGCAGGGTGAGAAGGGCGGAATATAAATATTGTAAATAAACAAATAATAAACAATGAGTCTTCCTTCTTACCAGTTCTTTGGCTTCAGACAAAAGATCCTCCACGTCTGAGAAGCTGAAGCTGGCCACCGTGATGAACTGGCTGACGACAGACACAAATTTGTCTCCTGGGTGGGAAGGCTGGGTTTTCTGATATTCCAGTTCCTGTGGAGGAAAGAGTTTGATCACGGTCATTGTTTAAGGATGGGAATGAAAGCAGGGATAAACTCAAAGGATGAAGGAGGGTCTACCAAGCTGCAAAGAGCTCAAGTCCACACTACAAAGTTATAATGCTTTGATTTTCCTGCTTCTTGACAGGAGGTTGGACTGGATGGCCCACGAGGTCTCTTCCAACTCCATGATTCTATGATTGCTATAGCTGTAGTTTTGGGATTCGTTATTTGGTGAGGCTCAAGAGATGCTCTCTGACAGACAATTCTCTAAACTGCAAGTCCCAGGATTCCACATAAACATTAAAAACATTTATTTCAATATTAAAATACTGTATATACTCGAGTATAAGCCTAGTTTTTCAGTCCTTTTTTTAGGCTGAAAAAGTCTCCCCCGGCTTATACTCGAGTCGATATTATTTATTATTTTACGTTGTTGTTGTTGTTGTTGTTGTAGTTATTATTATTATTACATTTATTATTTTATTGTTGTTATTATTACATTTATTATTGTTTATACATCTATTATTGTTATTGTTACATTTATTATTTTACTGTATTGTTATTATTATGTTTACTATTTTACTCTATTATTATTGGAGGACATGTAAGCCTATTTACATTGAAGAAGGTTAGAATAATGGTTCAATCAGAGTTGGACAGTCTTATCTTGAATTACAGTTTTCTGTAAATATTCAAAAACCTACTGATGCCTAAATTAATATAATTTTATTGGTATCTATTTTTATTTTGAAACTGACCTGTAAATGCTGCATTTCCCACTCTCGGCTTATACTCGAGTCAATACACTTTCCCAGTTTTTTGTGGTAAAATTAGGTGCCTAGGCTTATATTCGGGTCGGCTTATACTCGAATATATACGGTACATCATTTAAAACCATTGGTCATCTGTGTCAAATCTAATTGGCCTGGTAATCTTTCCTATTGCTGCTTTATGGCCCTGTCCTGAAAGCTTGGTCCCACAACCAAGTTTTTACCATTTTTCCAAAGGACAGCAGGGAGGGGGCTGATCTGATCTTGCCAGGAAGGGAGTTCCATAGCTGGGGGCAATCACCGAGAAGGCCCTGTCTCCTGTCCCCACCAATTGCGCCAGTGACAATGGCGGGATGGAAAGCAGGGCCTTCCCGGAGGATCTTAATCTCTGTGATGGTTTATAGGGAGAGATGCGTTCAGTCAGGCAAATTGGGCCGGGGCCGTTTAGGGCTTTATGGGCTAAAGTGTAACATGCACAGATATCTATAACAACAAACACAAAAAACTGCAGATTGCAAATCACAATTTCTATATTACGATTTCTATATTACGGCTGGTGGGAATGAGAGAAAGGGCCTTCTCTGTGGCTGCCCCCCACCTTTGGAACTCCCTTCCTAAGGAGTTAAAGATGCCCCCCTCCCTCCCCGCTTTCAAAAAGCTGAAGACATACCTTTGCTCACTGGCTTACAAGGAGGAGGAATAGTTGTGGTAATACTAGCATTATACCTCTGATTAAGAGTTGCGATCCGAATCCGTGCCCTCCTCACCCTACCAGCTCAACAGATATCTTGAGCAATGGTTAATCGATTTGCCCCAAAGAAACGGGAAATTATTGTTTCCATTTGATGTTTTGTCTTATGTCTGTTATAACAGGCTGTGCTTTTTATCTAATTTTAGTTTGTTAGGTTATAATTCGTATTTATATGTTGGGTTGTATAAATTTTGTTATTATGGATGTATTGTTGTTGTATTCGGAAATTGAATGTTTGCCTTTTATGTTTGGAATCCGCCCTGAGTCCCTTTGGGGAGATAGAGTGGAATATAAATAAAGTTGTTGTTGTTATTATTATTATTTGAAACACAACAAGATGAGTCCACAGCAAACAAGATCACTATGCTGGTTGTTGTATTGGATTGGACACTTTCCAAGTGTCTAGGACTGTGTGATGTATCAGCGAATAATGCATGCAGATCTCAATAGGGTGGCCTTTCGCAGCTGACAGATGGTAATTTTGTCAGCGCCGATTGTGTTTAAGTGCAGGCCAAGGTCTTTAGGCACTGTACCCGGTGTGCCGATCACCACTGGGACCACCTCTCCTGGCTTGTGTCAGAGTCTTTGTTATTATAAATATAATTATTATCCAAATGAGTTCACAGCAGACAAGATCACTCTGCAGGCTGTTGTATTGGATCACACGTCGGACACTTCCCAAGTGTCAAAGACTGTGTGATGTATCGGCGAATAATGTATGCAGATCCCAGTAGGGTGGCCTTTTGCAGCTGGCAGATGGTAATCTTGTCAGCGCCAATTGTGTTTAAGTGCAGGCCAAGGCCTTTAGGCACTGCCCCAGTGTGTCGATTACCACTGAGACCACCTTGACTGGTTTGTGCCAGAGTCTTTGCAGTTCGATCTTTAAGTCCTCATATTGTGTCAGCTAATAATAATAATTATAATAGTAATAATAATAAATTATTTTACTGACACAAAAACACAGTATGTCACAGCAAATGAGATCTATATACTGGATTTCTATAGATAATAATAGTAACTGATCTGGTCCACGCCTTAGTCACCTCTAGACTGGATTACTGCAATGCACTCTACGTGGGGCTGCCCTTGAAAACGGCCGGAAATTTCAGATGATCCAACGGGCGGCAGCCAGGTTGTTAACTGGGGCTCCTTACAGGGAAAATCATTCCTCCTGTTCAAGGAGCTCCACTGGCTGCCATTCATTTTCCGGACCCAATTCAAGGTGCAGGTTCTTACCTAAAGCCCTGAACGGTTTGGGACCCGCCTACCTGCGTGACCGCATCTCTGTATACGAACCCACACGATCCCTTCGATCATCCGGAGAGGCCCTGCTCTCGATCCCACCAGCATCGCAGGCGCGATTGGTGGGGACGAGAGAGAGGGCCTTTTCGGTGGTGGCCCCTCGACTCTGGAACTCACTCCCTAAAGACATCAGACAGCCCCAACTCTGGCAGTCTTCAGGAGGAGCTTGAAGACGTGGTTGTTCCAGTGTGCCTTCCCGGAATAATGATCCCATAGCACTTTGTCCTCCAAAGCACTTTACATTTCTTTAGGTCTGCTCGTATGCCCTTCCACAACCTTTTGTCCATGTCCCAGCATTATTTCCAATTTTAACTTACATTTGGCCTTCCCATTGTTTTTAATTGTGTGTTGTCTTATTGAAAATTAGTTATTTTATTGTTTGTCTTTTATATGTATTTTATAACTTATTTATTATGTATGTTGTTTTAAGAATGTTATTTATTGTGTAGCATTGAATGTTTCATAGAATCATAGAATCATAGAATCAAAGAGTTGGAAGAGACCTCATGGGCCATCCAGTCCAACCCCCTGCCAAGAAGCAGGAATATTGCATTCAAATCACCCTGACAGATGGCCATCCAGCCTCTGTTTAAAAGCTTCCAAAGAAGGAGCCTCCACCACACTCCGGGGCAGAGAGTTCCACTGCTGAACGGCTCTCACAGTCAGGAAGTTCTTCCTCATGTTCAGATGGAATCTCCTTTCTTGTAGTTTGAAGCCATTGTTCCGCCTTCCTAGTCTCCAAGGAAGCAGAAAATAAGCTTGCTCCCTCCTCCCTGTAGCTTCCTCTCACATATTAATACATGGTTATCATATCTCCTCTCACCCTTCTCTTCTTCAGGCTAAACATGCCCAGCTCTTTAAGCCGCTCCTCATAGGGCTTGTTCTCCAGACCCTTGATCATTTTAGTCGCCCTCCTCTGGACACATTCCAGCTTGTCAACATCTCTCTTGAATTGTGGTGCCCAGAATTGGACACAATATTCCAGGTGTTCTAACTAAATCAGAATAGAGGGGTAGCATGACTTCCCTTAGATCTAGACACTATGCTCCTATTGATGCAGGCCAAAATCCCATTGGCTTTTTTTGCCGCCACATCACATTGTTGGCTCATGTTTAACTTGTTGTCCACGAGGACTCCAAGATCTTTTTCACACGTACTGCTCTCGAGCCAGGCGTCCCCATTCTGTATCTTTGCATTTCGTTTTTCCTGCCAAAGTGGAGTCTCTTGCATTTGTCACTGTTGAACTTCATTTTGTTAGTTTTGGCCCATCTCTCTAATCTGTCAAGATCGTTTTGAATTCTGCTCCTGTTCTCTGGAGTATTGGCTATCCCTCCCAATTTGGTGTTGACTGCAAACTTGATGATCATGCCTTCTAGCCCTTCATCTAAGTCATTAATAAAGATGTTGAACAGGACCGGGCCCAGGACGGAACCCTGCGGCACTCCACTTGTCACTTCTTTCCTAAGATGAAGAGGAAGCATTAGTGAGCACTCTCTGTGTTCGTCCACTTAACCAATTACAGATCCACCTCACCGTAGTTTTGCCTAGCCCACATTGGACTAGTTTCCTTGCCAGAAGGTCATGGGGGACCTTGTCGAAGGCCTTAGTGAAATCCAGGTACGCTACATCCACGGCATTCCCCGCATATACCCAGCTTGTAGCTCTATCGAAGAAAGAGATCAGATTAGTCTGGCATGACTTGTTTTTGATAAATCCATGTTGACTATTAGCGATGACTGCATTTGTTTCTAAGTGTTTGCAGACCGCTTCCTTAACAATCTTTTCCAGAATCTTGCCCGGTATCGACGTGAGGCTGACCGGACGGTAGTTGTTTGGGTCATCCTTTTTTCCCTTCTTGAAGATTGGGACCACATTGGCCCTCCTCCAATCTGCTGGAACTTCTCCCGTTCTCCAAGAACTCTCAAAGATGGTTGCCAATGGTTCCGAAATGACTTCCGCTAGTTCCTTCAATACTCTGGGGTGTAGTTGATCTGGCCCTGGGGACTTGAACTCATTAAGAGCGGCCAGGTATTCCTGGACGACTTCTTTCCCAATTTGGGGTTGGATGTCCTCCAATCCTTCATCCACTCCATCTTGCTGAGGTTGAAGACTCTCTTTTGTGAGAAGACCGAGGCAAAGAAGGCATTAAGTAGTTCTGCCTTTTCCCTATCCCCTGTCAGCATTGCCCCATCTTCTCCTCGAAGAGGCCCTATCGCCTCCTTGTTTTTCCTTTTTCTACTGACATAAGAATAGAAGCCCTTTTTATTGTTTTTAATGTCCCTGGCAAGTCTGAGCTCGTTTTTTGCTTTAGCCTTGCGGACCTTTTCCCTACAGGTGTTGGCTATTTGTTTGAATTCTTCTTTGGTGATTTCCCCTTTTTTCCACTTCTTGTGCATATCTCTTTTTAGTTTTAGCCCAGTTAGAATTTCTTGGAAATCCATTCTAGATTCTTTGCACTTGCCTTATTTTTTCCTCTTTTTTGGCTCGGTTTGCAATTGCGCTTGAGTATTTCACTCTTGAGAAATTCCCATCCATCCGTAACTCTCTTGTCTTTTAGTATCTGTGTCCACGGAATGCTGCTCAGTGTTTCCTTCATTTTTTTGGAAATCAGCTCTCCTAAAGTCCAAAATGCGGGTTTGACTTGTCTTAGTTTCGGCCTTCCTTTGTACCTCAAATTGTTGTTGTTTTTGTTGTTGTTGTTGTTGTTGTTATTATTATTATTATTATTATTATTATTATTATTATTATTACTACTATTACTATTACTATTCCTATGGCTGAGAAAACTGGAGGTTGTAGTGCAAAAAAAAAAAAAGACTTTTCCCCAAACTTGGCTCACAGAGGTCAATGCCCCTTGAACTTCCAAAAGTGTAAATATTACATCTGCATCCACTCCATCCGTATATTCCAAGCAAACCTTTCCTTATTTAAGTGCACATGATCAAAGACCTGTGGGTCATTAAAACTGTCGTAAGGCATAATGAGATACAGGTCAGGAAGGAAAACAACAAAAGGAAAGAAGCTGGCCTCTAGGAAGAGAGATAAAAGGGCCTTCCGCCAGCGTTTCCCTTCTTTTCCTCTCTGAGGACTGATGCTCAAGGAACGCTCCTTGAAGTCGCAGCAGGGGACCATTAAGCGGGTAAACAATGCCTACTTACCGTCTCCACAGCCCTCAGGCCGCTCCGCAAAGTGCCAATTTCTTTTTCCAGCTCCGTCATGCTGCCAGGGGGAAAAGGGAAATGGAAGCATGTTAATTTGCCAAGCAGCTCCCAGCCAGGCTCTAAAGCCCTCTTGGGCTCCTCTTACTGCCAAACGCTTTCCGATTAACGCCGTGTATATGGTCATGAAGCCCACTAAAATTGGTGTACAACACTTTAAACAAACCCCAATTAAATATGAGTGTATGGATATAAAGTTAAAATACAATTAAAATTCCATTTGGGTTGTTGTAGGTTTTTTCAGGCTATATGGCCATGGTCTAGAGGCATTTTCTCCTGACGTTTTGCCTGCATCTATGGCAAGCATCCTCAGAGGTAGTGAGGTCTGTTGGAAGTAGGAAAAATGGGTTTATATATCTGTGGAATGACCAGGGTGAGACAAAGGACTCTTGTCTGCTGGAGCTAGGTGTGAATGTTTCAACTGATCACCTTGATTAGCATATAATGGCCTGACAGTGCCTGGAGCAAACTTTTGTTGAGAGGTGATTAGATGTCCTTGTTTGTTTCCTCTCTGTTGTTGTGCTGTTGTAATTTTAGAGTTTTTTTAATACTGGTAGCCAGATTTTGTTCATTTTCATGGTTTCCTCCTTTCTGTTGAAATTGTCCACATGCTTGTGGATTTCAATGGCTTCTCTGTGTAGCCTGACATGGTGTTGTGAGAGTGGTCCAGCATTTCTGTGTTCTCAAATAATATGCTGTGTCCAGGTTGGTTCATCAGGTGCTCTGCTATGGCTGACTTCTCTGGTTGAAGTAGTCTGCAGTGCCTTTCATGTTCCTTGATTCGTGTTTGGGCAATGCTGCGTTTGGTGGTCCCTATGTAGACTTGTCCACAGCTGCATGGTACACGGTAGACTCCTGGAGAGGTGAGAGGATCCCTCTTGTCCTTTGCTGAATGTAGCATTTGTTGGACATCTAATCACCTCTCAACAAAAGTCTGCTCTAGGCACTGTCAGGCCATTATATGCTAATCAAGGTGGTCAGTTGAAACATTCACACCTAGCTCCAGCAGACAAGAGTCCTTTGTCCCACCCTGATCATTCCACAGATATATAAACCCATTTTCCTAATTCCAACAGACCTCACTACCTCTAAGGATGCTTGCCATAGATGCAGGTGAAACGTCAGGAGAGAATGCTTCTAGACCATGGCCATATACCCCGAAAAAACCTACAACAACCCAGTGATTCCGGCCATGAAAGCCTTCAACAATACAAAATTCCATTTAAAACTCACCATCGTCCCCAGAATCCCACCCACAACCTCCCTGCTTGGATTGAGTCTTGGCTTATGGATGTTGATTCTGAACTCCTAACAATTCAGAATCAATCAAAGAGTTGATTGGATTGGTGCTTGTACTCCAGTTAATTTTACTAGAAATAGTACTGGAAGTCACTGGATTATATAATACAGGCAGTCCCCAATTTATGAACATAGGTTTTGTAGGTTTGTTCTTAAACTGTGTGTGTTGGAATAGGTACATTATTTAAATGTAACTAACTAAATACTTTTCCTCCCACTGTACCTATATTAGATGTTTTATTACTGATCATGCTTTTAAATGTACTGGTTTAAGTGATTAGTTGTTCTATGGTTTTATTTTGATATTTAATTTCATTCTATTAGTACAATGCTAAACCGCATTGAGTCGCCGCCTAGGCTGATATATGCGGTATACAAATAGAGTAAATAAATAAATAAATGCTGTTATTATTCTGTATTATGTTTATTGCTGTAATGTTTTGGTATTGTTGTGACTGAGATGTTCCCTGATGATGAGGATGATGGGATTCAGATTCCTGGCTCTTTTTCTGTGCCTCAGATCCCTGGGCCTACTTCTAGTCTTTTTCTGAGGCTCCCACAGACAGTGGAGAGTCAACAACACAGCGGTTCTCAGAAGAAAAGAATTTTAACGAAGGAGATAGCTAACAGGTGGGGAGGCTGTTGCCTCTTTCCCACGCTGATACTGAAAGTGCAGAAAGCCTTGACCCGGCAGGCTCATCTTGATTTGTGGGTCAGGCGGAGTTCTCGCCTGGCCAGCAGACGAGAAGCCAGCTCAGGCCAAGGTCATTGCAATGCTTTCATGTTGGTGAGAATATAATGTTTTCATGTTAGAAAGGTATTTAGGCTTCTTGCAAACTAAGGGAAAGCATCAGTTCAACGTAGCGTATTTGCCTGTAAGCTTCAAGGATTACCTTAACTGGAAAGCAGCACGCTTGGGACTTCTTCCATTGTGATTCTTGGAGCAATTGTCTTTGCTTGTACCTTGGTCTCTGTTTTGAACTTTGCCTATAGGATTGTGCCTTTTGTTTTTACCTGAAGATCTTTGGAACTGTATTCTGCATTTTACCTGAATCTTTGGAACTTTGCGATGCTTATTCTGTATTTTGACTTGGATTTTTTTCCTCAATAAACTATAAAACTACAGCTCTTGTGTGGTGGTGTTTGGAAGCCAGGTGAAGCTTACTCTGAGTTGCAACAGGTATATGCCAGGCACTGAATATTTGCCTTTGTATGTGCAAACTACCCTGAGTCCCTCAGGGGAGATAGGGTGGTCTAAGAATAAATAATAATAATAATAATAATAATAATAATAATAATAATAATAATTAAGACGTCTCTAGGCAATTGGCTCCATTGCCATACTGCTCTATTCTTTGCTCTGAGAAGACTTCCTGTTATATAGCACTTCACAAATATAACTAAATTAGGAAATGAATGGAATGGATGCTAGTCCGACACTTACTTTACTTTGGCAGCCCCAGGGATATCCTTCAGCTCTTCATGCAGGTTGAGAACGTTGGGGTATTTCTTTTCCACAATAGTGATGAGATAGTGCAACAAGGTGATGTTCCTTTGGGAAAAAAAGAATAGCAGGGGAAAGCAAGTTAAGTACGGGTGTCATAAACTCTTCAGTGATTTTTCTAATTTAGAGGCAAAAGCAATGCCGCAACAGGCCTCTGAACAGGCCAGAATATCTAAAAATCAATTTAGAAACATAGAACCAAAGAGTTGGAAGAGACAGATGGCCATCCAGGATGTTTAAAAAACCCCAGAGAAGGAGATTCCACTGGACTCCAAGGAAACATATTCCACTATTCAACAGCTCTTGCTGCTAGCCAAAAGGTTAGCCAGCCCAAAGTGACACCTGAAAGATTTAGCCCCTTAGAAAGGTATTTATCCATCAGAACTCTAGGGTTCTACAAGAAACAGAATTGAAAAATGGTGGCTGAAGTTACCTTAAAATTGTACCTGTTCCAACTTATTATACATATACATATAGGTAAAGGTAAAGGTATTCTTCTGACATCAAGTCCAGTCATGTCTGACTCTGGGGGTTGGTGCTCATCTCCATTTCTAAGCCGAAGAGCTGGCGTTGTCCGTAGACACCTCCAAGGTCATGTGGCTGGCATGACTGCATGGAGTGCCATTACCTTCCTGCCGGAGCGGTATCTATTGATCTACTCACATTTGCATGTTTTTGAACGGCTAGGTTGGCAGAAGCTGGGGCTAATATCAGGAGCTCACCCTGCTCCCCAGATTCGAACCGCCAACCTTTTGATCAGCAAGTTCAGCAGCTCAGCAGTTTAACCCACTGCACCACCAGAGGCTCCTCTCATATACATATACATACATACATAGAGAGAGGGAGAGAGGGAGAGAAAGAAGAGAGCTTTGGATAGCACAGGGAAGGGGTAACACCCCTGTGGGGTTTGTTTTGCTGTCTGTGCCCCTGCTCAGAAGAATTCCCCTCACGTCCTGTCGCAGTGATCATTGCATTTTGAAAATTTGGCTTGTTGTGGAAACAAGGATTGGTGAGAAAGCTTGAGTGGAAACCCCTTTCCCCCCAATATAATTATTCTTTCAGATTAGAGAGATGGGCCAAAACTAACAAAATGAAGTTCAACAGTGACAAATGCAAGATACTCCACTTTGGCAGAAAAAAACAAAATGCAAAGATACAGAATGGGGGACAATGCCTGGCTCGAGAGCAGTACGTGTGAAAAAGATCTTGGAGTCCTCGTGGACAACAAGTTAAACATGAGCCAACAATGTGATGTGGCAGCAAAAAAAAAGCCAATGGGATTTTGGCCTGCATCAATAGGAGCATAGTGTCTAGATCTAGGGAAGTAATGCTACCCCTCTATTCCTTGGTTAGACCACACCTGGAATATTGTGTCCAATTCTGGGCACCACAATTCAAGAGAGATATTGACAAGCTGGAATGTGTCCCGAGGAGAGCGACTAAAATGATAAAAGGTCTGGAGAACAAGCCCTATGAGGAGCGGCTTAAGGAGCTGGGCATGTTTAACCTGAAGAAGAGAAGGCTGAGAGGAGATATGATAGCCATGCATAAATATGTGAGAGGAAGCCACAGGGAGGAGGGAGCAAGCTTGTTTTCTGCTTCCCTGGAGACTAGGACGCAAGGAACAATGGCTTCAAACTACAAGAAAGGAGATTCCATCTGAACATGAGGAAGAACTTCCTGACTGTGAGAGCCGTTCAGCAGTGGAACTCTCTGCCCTGGAGTGTGGTGGAGGCTCCTTCTTTGGAAGCTGTTAAACAGAGGCTGGATGGCCATCTGTCAGGGGTGATTTGAATGCAATATTCCTGCTTCTTGGCAGGGGGTTGGACTGGATGGCCCATGAGGTCTCTTCCAACTCTTTGATTCTATGTGATGGTTGGGGGTCACCACTCATCTTCTGTTGTCTCACCACCATTCTGAACTATGAGTCATTTGTAAGTCCGATATTTGTAACTTGGGGAGTGCCTGCAATCATCTACTGAAATATCCCAGCCCAAACTCCTATCTTCAAGCAGAAAGCACTCACTTGTCGATGCTGGATTTGGTGTCTGCAATCTTGTTCAGACTAGAGATTTTGAACCCATAGGCGTTGCCGCGCTGGCCCTTATTCATGTAGTTTCCAAAGGCCAAGACCACTTCCAACAGCTGCTTCAGGCTCTTGCTCTGGAACACTTCTGTGGAAGCGGTGCGGATTGCTATGGAGGGCAAGAAGAAAGATGTTTTTTCAGATATTGGAATAATTTGATATGGAACACAACGTTTATCCATGTTTCATATATATCACATGCACATAGCATGAAGGAAATGTTATACACAGTATTTTTTAATAATGTTGTGCCTGAAACAAAGTTGGTGTATACATTGAACAGTCAGAAAAAAAAAAGATGCCACCATCTCAGTCCTTCATGTGGACAATTTTGGATTTTGGACTTTCAAATAGGAAACATTCAATCTGTACAGTATTAGTGGTTTCCAAAATGATGCTGCACCTGTGACAGGCAAAAGAGAACTGAGAGATTTGGAGGAGGGGGCACCTGTCCTAAAAGACCACCTCCAGTTTTAGAACTGACCAAACTCTTGCTTGTAAGTCACAGTGTTCTGTCGCCGCTGGGCCTATAGCTAGTTGACTTTAAATATAGGATGTGTAACCTTTACCCAGCGGGAAGCCAGGGGCCCTAGGAAAAGTTCTCAGAGGCTTCCTTTACAAAAGGAATCTTCAAATGGCTTAAAAGGTACAACAAAGTCTTTTATTAATGAATCCAACAGGAATTGTAAAGCTTTCTTGGCAAAGTATCAGTTCTCTCAAACTTGTCCACAGGGAACAGGCACTATCTTCAATAACTTTCTTCAAAGGAAAATTCCCCTTTTTAACTTCTCCCAAGGCTAACTAAAATCCAACCCTCACTGGTGTGGGCTCCTCTGCCAGGCCGAACTGCTTCTCGAAACACTGAGAGGACCTACCAGACAGGCAATGGATGTTCTTTAGAGTTTAAGGCTGTCTTCCTGGAAACTCCCAAGGCTGTAGGAAGGAATCCCTGGAGTTCTTAGGAGACTCTTAAAGCTGTGGGAATGCTTCCCTGGCATTCTTTCCCTGGAGCTCTTAAAGGTTGAAGCCTTTGTACAGGGGAAGTAAACACATCCTATACATTGGCTAACCTTGCTGTGACTGACTGGAAAAGGCTCCCTTCCCTCCAAAGCCTAGAAAGGGGGTGGAACCAGGGAACCCAATGATAATTGACAGGTGGCTTGCCCTATGAATGCAGCCAAAAGAAGCCACCTATCTGCAGAGTCCCTGAAACTTAGAACTATAAACAAACGCTCAGTGCAAAGCACAAAATTGGAGCTCCTGGAACAGCTGTTCCAGAACACACAGAGACCCACACGACGAACCTACCTTCCACTTTAGGTTTAACTTCAGCAACTCTCTCAGCAAACTTCTTCTTGAAATACAAAGACTGCAGTCTCTGCTGGTAATGGTTTATCCTGCAGGAGAGCAGAGAAAAAAGTATATTAGGAGGGGTGTCTCATAAACAAACTGATCTTCTTTGTGCTTGAGCACTCTGTCACTGTTTACAGAAGCTTTGCTTTCTATCTAAACTCTCATTAACTTCTGCACCTGACAAATCATACGCAGACAGTTCCTCTGGGAAAGACCGTGAAAAGCCTCCCTCAGGAATGTGACCTTGTGAATCTTCCTGATATAGCTCGAGCCTCTCATCTGAACTTAACTCCAGTCATACCTGACTCTGGGGGTTGTTGCTCATTTCCATTTCTAAGCCAAAGAGCTGGTGTTGTCCGTAGACACCTCCAAGGTTATGTGGCCAGCATGACTGTATGGAGCACCATTACCTTTTCACCAGAATGGTACCTATTGCATGTTTTCAAACGACTAGGTTGGTAGAAGCTGAGGCTAATAACGGGAGCTCACCCCACTCCCTGGATACCAATCACCTGTTGGGGTTCAGCCTGCGTGTGAACCTGAACCTGATTCTCTGATTGTATTTCCTGATGCAACTGAACAGGCTACTGAACATGAATTTGTCCCTGATGGTTTGGAAACTGTTGATTCTGAGGTCAGTGGCTTGGAAAGTGAAACTACGCATCCTGATGGGAATGTTTCTGAATCAAGCGGTGATAGCTCTCCAGAGGAGCTAGCACCTGCCTTTTTTAATGAGGATAGAAAAGGACAGATTTGGAAAAACAGGAGTGAATCGCAGAGTCTGCGAAGGTCAAGCAGATTAAAGGAAAGGGAGGCACAGGCTTCAAAGCCTGGAGGCGTGTCTCGAAACAGTTTCTTTAGTTTTAAGTGTCTCTCCCCGGGCTCTCTCGTTAGATCAAGCATCGTTTAGACTGAGGCATTACCTTGGCAGATTTCCCGGTTCCCATGGCCTGCATTCCCAGAGGCTTCTAGTTTCCAAGTACGGTTAGTGAGATGCTAACAGGTTCCAGGTTTTTATAGTGTTGCTTTTGGAATTTTGATCTAGTTCATAGATATTCCTGACTGCTGAATTTTACTGTGGCTTTTTGGACTTTGTATTTTCCTCTATTTTGTAACCATTTTTCATCAATAAAAAAGGATTGTTTTTTTCCTACAGTCAAGTGTGGTGGATTAATATCTTATGGTCTTGTTTCCTGATCTGGGTTGCAACATCACCAACCTTCCAGTCAGCATATTCAGCATTTTTGGAGATCTTTACCAACTACCCAGCTTCTCAGATATCAGGATGTGTCTTGAGATGTTCCTGCTCGTTTCCAACAGACTGGTCATTGTGTTCTCAGCTTACCTGCTCTCAGCTACAGCAACAATTTTCTCCATCCCCAAACTCCTACGTTGTAGTCCTTACTGTTTCAGATCAAGTAAAATATCACTTTATATCATGTATGGGCAAACCTGGGCCCTCCAGGTGTTTTGGACTTCAACTCCCACAATTCCTAACACCCTACAAGCTGTTAGGAATTGTGGGAGCTCTAAAGCATCATTCGGCATTGTTTGCAGCACAGATGAAGAGTGCCAAGATTGAAGTGCTGCTCCAATCACCTGCTCATTTCAAAGAGGAACCTGTCAGCCTTCGCCATCCGGTCCAGTTCATGCTTGTGCTCCTCCAGGAGGTCAATGTCCGCCTTTTCAGGAACAAATTTCAAAAGCTAAAAAAGGAAACATAAGATACACTTTTAAACACATGTTGACCCTCCACGTAAGTCTATTAGTTTATTTATTTACTCTATTTGTTTCCTGCTGTTCTCTACCCCGAAGGTACTCAAGGCGGCTTTACATATGGCAATGACTTTGAACAAGAAATAGTTAAAATACATGAAGTGAAAGATTTTAAATTAAATGCACATTAAAAACATATAAAACACTAGCTGTCCCCTGCCACGCGTTGCTGTGGCCCAGTCTGTTGATCTGGAAAATAAAATAATGAGAAAGTGTAATTTCTTGATTATTGTGGATAAACAGTATTTCTTGCTGTTTCTTTGTCAGTGTTGATGGCGGTTTGCCCACCCTGGAACATGCAACATATCATTGTCCTTCTTTAAGGGTCCCTTTCAAATCTATGAGTGTGTGTGTGTGAATCACATCTATCTACCTACCTACCTACCTATCTATCTATCTATCTATCTATCTATCTATCTATCTATCTATCTATCTATCTATCGCTGGATGGCTCTTTGTCAGGAGGACTTTGATTACGTTTTCTTGCCCTGGTGAAGAGACCTGGACTGGATGGCCTTAAGTATTTTCTGTTGGTTGTGGGTGTTCTGTGTGGGAAGTTTGCCCCGATTCTGTCTCTTCGTGGGTTTCAGAATGCTCTTTGATTGTAGGTGAACTGTGAATCCCAATGACTACAACTCCCAAATGTCAAGGTCTATTTCCCCCAAACTCTACCAGTGTTCATATTTGGGCGTATTGAGTGCTTGTGCCAAGTTTGGTCCAGATCCATCATTGTTTGAGTCCACAGTGCTCTCTGGATGTAGGTGCACTACAACTCCCAAACTCAAGGTAAATGCCCACCAAACCCTTCCAGTATTTTTTGTTGGTCATGGGAGTTCTGTGTGCCAAGTTTGGTTCAATTCCATTGTTGATGGAGTTCAGAATGCTCTTTGACTGTAGTTGAACTATAAATCCCAGCAACTACAACTACCAAATGACAAAATCTTAATTTTTTGAGTGATGGTCATTCCTTGTGTTGTGAGACGTTTTGCTGCCAAATTTGGTGTGATTTCGTTCATTGGTTCTTTTGTTTTTAAGGTACTCATTATGCACAGAGCATTTATATATATATAGATTACAGTCACTATGAGCGCAAAGTGAAGAAGTGGAGACAGGAAGACAGATTTCCACATGTCTCCTGGGTCATCTGTTGGGAGCCCCTCTTCCCAGCAATAATATCTATCAATATATATTAAAATGCTCTGTGCGTAATAAGTACCTTAAAAACAAAAGAACCAATGAAGGAAATCACACCAAACTTGGCCAATGAAGGAAATCACACCTACATCTAGAGGACACTGTGGACTCAAACAATGATGGATCTGTACCAAACTTGGCACGAATACTCAATATGCCCAAATATAAACACAGATGGAGTTTGGGGGAAACAGACCTTGACATTTGGGAGTCACTGGTTACTGGGATTTATAGTTCACCTACAATCAAGGAGCATTCTGAACTCCACCAACGACAGAATTGGGCCATACAGAACCCTCATGATCAACAGAAAATACTGTGTTTTCTGGTGGTCTTTTGTGACCCTTGTGACACCCCCTTGCAACCCCTCCCAGGGGTCCCAAACCCCAGGTTGAAAAATGCTGCCTTAAGGCCATCCAGTCCAACTCCCTTCACCAGGGCAAGAAAACATAAAGTCTTCCTGACTAGCCATAGATATAGATAAATATATATGATTCACACACACACACATGTTTATGAAAGATATAGTACAATAGACTTGAAAGGGACCCCTAAAGAAGGACAATTATATGTTGCATGTTCCAGAGTAGGCAAATCAGACAATCTTTACATCAGCATTGACAAAGAAACAACAATACTGTTCACCCACAAGGATAGAGAAATTGCATATATTAGAAACCAACGCTTTCTCATTACTTTATTTTCCAGACCACCAGACTGGGCCACAGCAACGCGTGGCAGGGGACCGCTAGTAGTAATATATAATACTAATATTGTGATGGTGCTAATATTATAATATATTTTATACACATATAATATTGATAATATTATAATGTAATACAATTCTAATAATCATATATTATATATTATATGTAATGTTACTAATAATATTACAGTATAGTGGTATACTAAAATATAGAAATATCTAATACTAATATTGTGCTGTGCTAATAATATAGTATATTGACTCACCTGTTCAAGCATGTCCTTTGGCAAGTCCTCTTGCTCATCCATTGTCAAAATTGCACGTTTGATTTCATCGTTTGATAATTTCAGCCTGCAAAAAAAGAACAGCAGAGGACGTTCAACTGAACTTTCACAACAAGGGTGAAAACCAGTTTCCAAGAGTCCAGTTCCAGCTTTTGATGCCAGAGGAATGTTCCCAACCAATATTTCTTATGCAAGGGGTCCTCAAACTAAGGCCCCTGGCCTGGATACAGTTCCCCAAGGTCATTTACACAGCTCCCACCCTAAACTTTAGACTTAGAATCCGTCTTAATTCTGAAACGACTTGAAGGAACACAACAACAATCCTAATTAACTTGACTCTCTCATCAGCCCAAAGAAGCCCATACTTCCCATTGAAATATGCAGTCAGTTCCCATACAAAGCGGGGTTGTGACATTATCTAAGGCACTTTATGAGAGTTTATGAGGTTCATTTGAACTCTTTGTTCAAATGCAGCTTGAAAAGGAAGGAAAGAACCATCTAGAACCTTAAGATCATCCGGGGAAGCCCTGCTCTCGGTCCCATGCCATTGCAGTCTTGTTTGGTGGGGACGAGAGACAGGGCCTTCTCCGTGGTGGCCCCTCGGCTGTGGAACTCCCTCCCTAATGAGGTTAGATCTGCTCCCTCCCTTCTGACCTTCCAAAAGAAACTTAAATCTTGGTTATGGGATCATGCATTCACAGAATAGTTGTTTTACTGGGAAGACAAGATTTTATTGGTCTGTTTTGGATGATTTTAATCTGGCAAACTAGTTCTAAAGTATATATTTTAACTATTCTAATGTATATGGATGTATTTATTATGTGTTTTATATCATGTTTGGCATTGAATTGTTGCATGTTTGGAAGTCGTTCTGAGTTCCTCCTCGAAGGTCGAGAACAAAGGGGTGTAAATGATTGAAATCTATATAAATAAAAATGTAATGTTCATTTGTGGGATGAACATAACTCAAGAACCAATGGACAAGTGGACACGAAATTTGGTCCCAATACACCTATCAGGCCAACAAGTGACCATCACTAATAAAAACACTGAAAAACACAATGGAAGGGATTTAAAAAGCCAAAAAAAAAAAAGAAGCAAAAAGACGCTACAGCGCATGTGAAAAATAACTCCCCGTGGCAAACAAAGCACACAATAGCATATCCACACTCTCTTCTGGACTACAGCTCCCAGCATCCCCTAGACCAGGCTCTTTAGGAGAGGAGGATGATTCAAATGCACTGCTTCCAAGCTGCAAGCTTTCTTCTCCTTCGATTTCTTTGAGAGCATCCCAATTCCTGCATATTTCCCATTTGCTATTCCTGGACTCCAACTCACAGCAATCCTCCAGATACATAAGATAGATTGGCGCAGTGGAAGAGCAAGGAAGGAGATAATGAAAGGAAACAAAGGAAGGAAGGAAGGAAAGAGGGAGGGATAGAAGGAAGGAGATAAAGAAAGAAAAGGAAAGAAAGAGGGAGGGAAGGTTAGCCACAGCAACACGTGGCAGGTACAGCTCATAAATAATAATACATAAACAGAAAGCCCATGGAACAACAGACTGGTTCAAGATTGGGAAAGGCGTACAGCAGGGTTGTATACTCTCACCTAACCTATTCAACTTGTATGCAGAACACATCATATGATGTGCGGCGCTTGACAAATGCAAGGCTGGGGTGAAAATTGCTGGAAGAAACATTAACAACCTTAGATATGTAGGTGACACCACTTTGATGGCTGAAAGCAAGGAGGAGCTGAGAAAGTGCAAAAACTGGGTTGCAGCTAAACATAAAAAATACCAAGATTATGGCAACAAGAATGATTGACAACTGGCAAATAGAGGGAGAAAACGTGGAGGCCATGACAGACTTTGTATTTCTAGCTGCAAAGATGATTGCAGATGCGGACTGCAGCCAGGAAATCAGGAGACACTTCTTGGGAGGAGAGCCATGTCCAATCTTGATAAAATAGTGAAGAGTAGAGACATCACACTGGCAACAAAGATCCGCATAGTTAAAGCAATAGTATTCCCCATAGTCACCTACGGATGTGAGAACTGGACCATAGGGAAGGCTGAGTGAAGGAAGACAGATGCTTTTGAACTGTGGTGTTGGAGGAAAGTTCTGAAAGTGCCTTGGACTGCCAGAAGATCCAACTAGTCCATACTTCAGGAAATAAAGCCTGACTGCTCACTGGAGGGAAGGAGAGTAGAGGCAAAGATGAAGTCCTTTGGCCACATCATGAGAAGAAAGGAAAGCTTAGAGAAGACAGTTATGCTGGGGAAAATGGAAGGAAAAAAGAAGAGGGGCCGACCAAGGGAAGATGAATGGATGGCATCCTTGAAGGGACTGGATTGATCTTGAAGGAGCTGGAGGTGGTGACAGCCGACAGGGAGCTCTGGCGTAGGCTGGTCCATGAGGTCACGAAGAGTCAGAAACGACTGAACGAATGAACAACAACAACAAAACAGAAAGCAGAAGGTAAAACAGATTCTTGGAAAAGAATGGGCCATGTTTTGCAATCTTGAGTTTACAGCAAGGGACAGACTGGCTAGTATGGCATCACTGTAACTTCGGATTACTCCCATTATCCTCAGCCAACTACAGCGAAGCTCAGTCAATCTTGGATCAGAAATGAGAGAGAAATGTTAAATGCAAAAAAGTTACAGAGATGGGCAGCAATAGCCAGCAGGGAGCGTTGCTTTCTTGCTTTTGATCAACAGCTACTCAGTTGATTCACAATGTAATTTTGGCTGGTGGTAGGTTTAGACCATAGCAGGTTGGTTGAGGCTCTCCTAATTAAATGTAAATCATGTCACCTCTCCTCACTGTCTAAGCCCAATGAAAAAAGGATACTGTCATACTGAGGAATAAGCAAGCTTTTTTTTTGCTACTCCAGAAACCAAAACAAGGAGTATCGGGTTCAAACTACAGGAAAAGAGATTCCACCCAAATATGAGGAAGAACTCCTGATGGTAAGAGCTGTTTGGAGACTAGGACGCGGAGCAATGGCTTCAAACTACAGGAAAGGAGATTCCACCTGAACTGTTCAGCAGTGGAACTCTCTGCCCCGGAGTGTACTGGAGGCTCCTTCTTTGGAGGCTTTTGAACAGAGGCTGGGTGGCCATCTGTTGGGGGTGCTTTGAATGCTATTTTTCTGCTTTTTGGCAGAGAATTGGACTGGATGGCCCACGAGGTCTCTTCCAACTGTATGGTTCTATGATTCTACCTACAAGGTTGTTATGAGGCTGAAGTACATAGGAAGAGCTCTGTTTACATTGTCCCAAGCTTATTAACAGATAGGTGAGGCATACCTGCAATTTGCAAACAATATAAATATTGTGTCCCCAATTTAAACCTGCAGGAGTACTGTGGAAGAGAGGTTTGTGTGCATGCACATCTGCAACAGGACATGAAAATGTTTCTTTCTTATTTCAACCTCATAACACAACCAAAACCAAAAACAAATAAACAAAAAAATCTGGGTGTTTTTGTTTTTGGGAAAATTGTATTGGATAGACTACATCAGCTGTAGTTTCTTATATATGGGTGAGCAGATGGCAACTTGTAGATGCAGCATGTTCTGTATCTCAAAAACTAGAGCTGATAGGGAAAAGTTGGTGCCATTTTTGGAATCAGCAGGTTAGATATACCCAGAAACAGGGCTAACGGGGCACCAAAATAACAACAACAAATAATAATCATCCTCATAATCATCATCATCATCATCATCATCATCACCATCATCCTAGAATCATAGTTGGAAGAGACGTCGTAGGCCATCCAGTACATCCCCCTGCCAAGAAGCAGGAAAACAACAACAACAACAAGCCAGAATTGAAAAGTCAATGACAGATCCCAAGTGTAGACTCTGCAAGGAAGCAGATGAAATGAAAGATCACATCCTTAGCTGCTGCAGGAAGATCGCGCAGACAGACTACAAGCAGAGGCATAACACCGTTGCTCAGATGATTAATTGGATCTTGTGCCACAAATACCATCTGCATGCGACAAAAAACTGTTGGGATCACAAGCCCAAAAACGTTATAGAAAATGAACACCTCAAACTACTTTGGGACTCAGACTGACAGAGTTTGAGCACAATAATCCTGACCCCACAATCGTGTTAAAAAACAAAGTATGGATTGTCGCTGTTGCAATCCCAGGCAACAGCAGGATTGAAGAGAAACAACTGGAAAAGCTGACACAATATGAGGATTTAAAGATCGAACTGCAAAGACTCTAGCACAAACCAGTCAAGGTGGTCCCAGTGGAGATCGGCACACTGGGTGCAGTGACTAAAGACATTGGCTTGCACTTAAACACAATTGGCGCTGACAAAATTACCAGCTGCCAGCTGCAAAAGGCCACCCTAAGGGGACAGTTCCCCAGCACCAACTGCTGCTCTGTGACCAGAGTGAAGAGAGGGGGCCAGGAAGAGAGTTCCACCTTGGCTCCTGCACTGTGCTAATAATATAATATAATATATTGTATACACATATAATATTGATAATATTATAATGTAATACAATGTAATACTACTACTAATAATGCATTCGAATTATATATTTTATATTACATATAATATTACTAATAATATTACAGTATAATGGTATGATACTAATATGGTGCTCTCATTTGGTATCAGCCATTGGTTGAGGTTCTGGCAGGGAGTTCCTCGACTTTGGAACTCCCTGCCATTAGAGATCAGAACTGCCCCTCCCTCATGACGTTCAGGAAACTAACAAAGACCTGGTTGTGGAACGAGGCATTTGACAACTGATTTAATTCTTTGCCCACATGAAAGGAGGATGATGAATGGGATTGTGATGGTGTCGGACGATTTGGCTCTTTTAACTGGGATGATAATGTTTTAATGTGTATGGTGCTGATATGTTAATCGTGTAATGAAGTGGCATTGTGTTGTTATTGCATATTTTTTGTATGTTAACACATGTTGTGAACCGGTCCGAATCCCTCTTTGAAGGTGAGAGGGTCGGTATATAAAACCTCGAAATAAATAAATAAATAATTGAGCCCGCCACTTTTGGACTCTCGCTTGCTGAGG